TTTATTATCTTCCCCAGAGCTTCCATTACCCTGGACTTCAACTCATTACTAAATTAAAGAATTCTTTTAGAAGATTTTTTAGAGTCAAGTCACAACAGAAAGGGCACCTCCTGTTCTCAATCCCCAGGGCATTTCAGGTTGTGTCTGCTCTTACATTGTACTTTCCTTTTGTTCTTTGCTGCAGCACTACACTGGCAACAGCAGTGCCAGGCCTGATGGGATTATGTGATACCTTCTCTGCAGAATCATATATCCCCTGCATCCACCCTCAACTAATTAAATGACATCTTCAGTAACAACAGAGGAAGGCTCCAAGATGAACATATCTAGTGTGAACTCTGGCCAGACTGACCTCACTTCTTCCTTTGCTAAGGGCCCCAACAAGGAAGCAACAGGAGCCTCCTTATGTTTTCTTGGGGATCTGAGGAACTCTATACAGGATGCATGTTATTTTTAACTTTGTGCTTAAGAAAACACTGTTTTCGGGCAGAGGCAGGGCACATACTGCTTGTGGTTTGGGATGAAGGGAATAGGACTAGATTAAGATGTTAGGACTGAAATAAACTCCTCCACAGGAAACCTTTTCTCTTTTCATTATCAGAATGCAAAAATTCTCCCTGTTCATGGGTTGGAAAAGTTTTTTGGTCCTTATGGAATATTGTAATACAAAATAAAACCTCCATGAGTCTTAAAACAAACCCAAGTCTTTCTAAGGCCAACATCTTCAGTGACCTTTAACATGACTAGGAAAAAGGAATGGGCTGGCACTAGACCATGAGCTGGGAATTATCTACCACACTTATGCACAAAAGGAATCAAAGCATTAGGAATTTGGGGAGGGAAAAATCTGTAAAATTGTTTTAAGGGGCAAAAGTTTACAACTCAATTAAAATATGTAGTAGAAAATATTTTGATATAAAGAGTTCCATTTCAATTTTTTTGAGGGGGGTTGGCTTGTTTCCCAATCTCTCCCCACTATTAATCTCTATCAGATCTGTGCGCTCCAATGTTTTTCTAGACTTATATTTTACATATTTAAAGGCTCCCCCAACACACAAACATTGGCATTTAATAGAGAAACATGCCTAGTATGCTGAGACACTACCAATATTTAGTATATAAATGTCTTGATATAAAAACTGCCTTTTGATTTTTTTCCCCTTTTCTGTTTAGCAATTTCATTACTTCTCGGCCTTTTGGCTAAGATCAAGAATAGTATCTCTTTAGCAATTTCATTTTTAAGTCATAAAGTGCTTTTAAAAAATGTTCTTTCCCATACCAGCTCCTTGTTCCTTTCCTGTCTCACGCTAAGAGGTCTTAAATTTGGAATATCTTCTTTCATCTTATCTTTTTCCTGATTATTAAAAATATTTTTTAAAAAAGCCCTGACAGCATCCTAGCATGAAGGTCTAATTGTACAAATTATATAACGTGAAACCAAAATAATTAAAATAATCCATACTCATTCTCTGATCTTGAGGCCAAATGTTTCTTTATTTCTCAAGATATTTATGACTATTTAGTTGCAATTCAAGACTGGCAGTCTGGAAGCATCTATATCCTTTTGAAACAGGTAAGGATGGGTTTATTTTCTAAAATGTGGGTCAGTTTGAAAAGTTGCCCTTCAGAGGGCCCCACATTTTATGATAGACCCATAGCAGCTTCTCTGCTCCCCTAGATTTGAGCTCCAACTCTAATTTAGCTTCTCCTCGTTTCCAGAGAATAATGTGCCAACTAATTCAGGCTGAGATGTTTGGAAGGAAAAAACAAATAGTAGGAAGAAGTCCACTGCCAGGCAAACCTGGGTAGTCCATTTGGTAACTAAAGACAGTGATTATATCACCTCTCAAGAATTCTTTAGAACCCTCCAACTTTTTAAAAAAGAAATATTACTTTACAGGAAAGGGATGAACCTCAGAGTTTCTAGTCATCTGGAGCTTTTCTTTTTTCCTTTACACATTCTATGACAAAAGGTGGATTTCAACCCAGTTAGTTAGCTTTTGACAATGGTAAATCACGAAAACAAATGGCTCTCCTTCAACTTTCAGAAGCAGACAGCTAAATGTTGCCCAAATGACACTCAAGATCAACTTTCCTGGAGGTGTTATGAATTCCATATTGCTAAAATTTGAATAAAAACACTATTTTAAATGGACTATTGTCACATAGTTGAAAATATTTTACAGTGGCACTGAGCCTTTTTTATTTGTAATATATGCTGAGTTATTTCATGTCATTTTCCTCTATTTTTCTCAGTGTCAAACTTTTTAAATTTACAGGCTGAATGGGTCGATTTTCAAAATATCAAAGTATTCCATGACAAAGTTACTTAATGCTCCCTCTTTTGGTGGCAAGTGGAAATATTAGTCAACACTGATACTGTAGAAAGCAAAATTAGCAATAGCAAATTGGACTTCTTGTATTTCTGAACAGATTTCATTGACTTTTAGAACAGGTGAGTTTTGGAACCCAGTTCTTGATGGGACTTTTCTTAAAAATCATAAGGGGTGATACTTAGTAGTCAGTTAACTACCCAAATCTACATTAAAACTTCAAGAAAAATATTCACTGAATTAAGCATTGTAGGATAGATGAAGTCACAAATACTCCAGTTGCACAAACTCCACTAAATATCACAAAGAACTTGTGGAAAAGATCCAAGTTAACCAAAGTCTAAAACACATGAATTAAATCAATTTAGTCATTATAGAGTTGCTTGCTGTGGAAGTTTTTTCCTTCGTTTGCTACATGCTTTTTGTAAATAACTTACTAAAATGAAAATTAAATTAAAATGTAGAGTAATTTTTTAAAGTGAAATATCCTTTCTTTTGTCTGTTTTTAAAATTATAGCTTGGTGTTTCTGCTTTGTTTAAAGATTTGTTTTTCCCTTTAAGTGTATTAAAATATGCCCTGTAGTGAAATCACTTTGGGAGTATTAAGTGTAAAAGGTCCTATTTTTGAGTTAGAATCCCTTTATGACACTGTCTATAGTGGAAAAGTCTCTATAATGATTTTTTTATCAGGACCAAGGAGAGAAATCCCAACTAGGAAGAGAGAGTGGCATCCGGCACGATGCAACAGATTGGTGGCCTTCTGAATGGTGGATGTTGGCATCAAGGAAACTGTTAATTTCCTAAGACCTTTCCAAAAAAGCAAGGATTAATAAAACATCTAAAGGATGAACATAGTATTTAGCCTTCTGAGCCATGGTGGAAAGAGTCAGAAAGTGATATTTGAAAGAAAAAGTAATTTTGGCATCAGGTATCATGGTTTTTAACAGGCTTCTCATAGTGATGCCCATAGGGTTGTGAAGGGTGAGGAGTGTGGCAGTTCTGTAAAGTCTTCCCCCGGCTGACCACAAAAGAAACCCATTTATCAAGACCTCGAGATGACTAGTGTTTTGTGAAAGACAAAAAGCAAAGTCAATAGAAATTCTAGAATCATAAGAGTGCAATAAAATTTTGAAGAAGCAAGAAGTCTGCTTCTGAAAGATAAAGTCCCTTCCATGAAAAGAAAAGAATTCTAGATGGATCAGTGAAAAAAAATATTCAGTGGAGCAACTTAAGCTTGCTAAAAGTCAAAGAACTACATATCCAAATACAAAGCAGCAGTTCAAATTACAGCAGGGATGGGTGGGCCTCAGAGGCCCTCATCAACCCAGGCAATACTTAAAATAATAAAAATTAAGAAAAATTAAAAAAATGAAGAAAATTACCTTCCTCTCTTTCAAATATAACTTTAGTTGCTTTTTATTCTTTCTGTCTGGAAGCAGTATTGCTAACCTTAACAGTCTTGACTTACCAAAAAAAAAAATATATGTGTGTGTGTGTATGTGTGTGTGTGTGTGTGAAACAAAATAAAAGAGAAGGGATTGGTGGCAGTGTATGCAAAACCAAAATGAAAAAAAAATTACTTTGAACAATCTCATTTTTTGTTTTTTTACACAAATACTGTTGTAAATATATTTAAAAAATCAGCATTCTATCTGGTAAATGTCACTTTTGCCCCTCTATAAAATTTTGAATTAAAAAAGCCTCAAGAACTTGTGTTCCCCCCACCCTCCATTTCTTTCTTTTTCTCTTCCACAAGAATATATCCTGACACATTTTTTTTTTTGCAAAGATTGTTGGAAATAATCCTTCTCTTGTACCTAGAAACATAGGTGCAAATCTCTGATATCTTTGTTTTATCTGCATTCCTGCCTTTCATGAAAGTCCCTCTTGATTGTGCTGAGGCTGTGGCCCAGCGAAGACACTGAATAAATACGATAGCCACTGTTGCTCGTTGCTTGTCCAAGTCTTTCTGGCTTCTGATGAAAGGGGGGATGTGGAGGTGAGCCAGGGTGTGTGGAGACAGGCAGAATCTAGGGGAGAAGCTTGCCATTCTCCTCTCTTGCCCACACCACTGACCCCACTGCCCCCTCCCACCCCCACAGCCCTTTTATGAAATCAGACAATGCGGTAGGTGGAAAACAGCAGGGCCTTTCCTCTGGGATTTCACCAGAAGTGATATTCCACAGTTTTAACTGGTTACTGTGAAGTCCAAGCGGCCAGAATTGTGAAAATGTCCACGGAAACACTGCAAGCGGTGTACTTAAAGACAGTAGGCCTTTTAGATTTTTGTTATATATTTTGTAGTGCTCTTCACAAGTGGAAAATTTTTTCTTTTGTTTTTCTTTCTTTTTTTTTTCTTTTTTTTTTTTTTTTTTATTTTTTAAAAAGTTTTTTTTTTTTTTTTTTTTTTTTTTTTTTTTTTTTTTTGTAAAGAAGGGTTGTATTTAGAGGCCAGTAGCTAGAGATCCAACCAGTGGATCTCCTGAAGCACTACCAGGCCTTAAGGCCACCATCCAAGGGAGACTGGGAAAACTATTATTCACCCAAGCCTCCGGAAATGTAATGTACCAGCAGGCAAAAAACAGTTTTTCATGTAGTACAAAATGAAACCAAACAAAAACAAAACAGAAAGTAAAAACGAAATCAAAACATTTCTTAAATTCTAGTGCCATAGCTTTGTTTGTTTATTTCTTTTTTTGTCGTTTTGTTCATAAGAAAGAGAGAAAGATACTACTTATCCGTCAGACACATGCATCCTCATGTGGTCGTTGAACTGCTCAATTTGGTCAAACTTGGCTGGGCAGACAGAGCAGACGTAAGTGGTCCCCTCCGTGCAGGCCACCACGCCTGGGGGGCCAGCGCGGGCACCCGGGGGCGTGCCTGTGGGAGGGGTCCCGTTGCTGGCACTGTGCAGGGCCACATGCCGTTCCAGGAGGGTCTTGTGGGAGAACTTCTTTTTGCAGATGTAACACTCGTAGGACTTCTCCCCCCGATGGAGGCGCATGTGCACATTGAGGGAGCTCTTCTGTGTGAAGCGCTTGTTGCAGATACTGCACTGGTATGCCCTCACGCCTGTGTGTGTCACCATGTGCTTGATAAGGTAATCCTTCAAGGAGAAGGATCTCCAGCAGATGCTGCATTGGTGGGGCTTCTCACCTGTTGATGTGGGAAGAGACAGCAAGCAGGACAGGGCGAGGCATAGCCAAGGTGGGAAAATGAAAGACAGAAAAACAAGACAACAAAAAAGAAAAACAGAAGAATTTAAAAAGTAAAATCTGATTGCTGGATGGATCATCTTTGATTGGAAAATTCCAGGCCTTCCTGGCCTCTCACAGTCACAGAAATCTTGCTTTAAGGGATGCCAGGACAGTCTAGAGTTTTCCACACACCAAAAAGTGGCTATCTTGGAAAGCTACAATATCTCCCCCACTAAAAGTCTTTAAAGGTCATGCTGTAGAGAGATGGGAGTCGGGGAGACATTTTCAGGGTCATCATTAGGGATTTAAATGTTTCCCATTAAGAGTATCCAACAAATATAAGAAATAATAGATCTTTGGAGAAATGAGGTTCTTTTGACTGTGGGGATTAGGAATATTGGTCATAGAGCTTGGTTCTTTTGGGAAAGTCCCCACTTCCCACTTACTGTTTTTCCTAATAAATGTATCCATTATAATTCCAAGTCTGGATGATATTTGCTAACATAGTAAGAAATCATTCTGAAGAGCTATGCTTTTTCAATTTTACAGATTTTTAGGCAGAAATCTTTCTAAAATGTAATATAAGAGTGAACTGGCTATTCTGTATTGACTGCAGTGAGCTGTAGATTGGCCTTCCTAGGTGTGAAAGTAGAGTAGTTAGTTGGTAGATAATATGCTGCTCTCCGAATCAAATGGTGCTGTTCAAATTTAGGCACCTATACCCTGTACCACTAAGACAAATCACCAAATGCCTCTGAGCTGTAGAGTCCTGCTTACCTCATTGTGCTGATGTGGATGGAAAATACATATGAAATCACTTTGCAGACCACCAAGGGTGGTGTGGGAATACTTGCATGGTATTCTTATTACAAGGCCACCCTCTCCCCATTAAATGTTTCCACATGCTTTTTAAACTCTTAGGTCAGTTTCTAAAACAGTTTTTCTCTCTTTTTTTATTAGCCTGTTGGCAGAAGTCTTTTTTTTTTTCCTTTTCATTTACTGCTTTGACTTGCCACTGGCTTAGGAACCAAATGATTAAGCTAGTTAAAAATAGTAAGGTAAATAAGATTTCTCAGTCATTGAGAAATCATGACATGAGGGTTCTTCTATAAGACAAGTCCATGCATCTGCAACATCTCTGTGGATAATTAAAGACTTGTTTGTGTTGGTATTGTTTGCTCTCAACTTCTGTTGTTCTGTGCTTGATAGGTGAGATTAACTACACTAAGGTACATCTCTCCCATTTCATTACTGACTGCCCAACACGGGCTCCTACCTCAGAGTAGCAAGGTCCTTTGATGTACTTTTCTGTCATGTGGCTGGCCTAAAAGCCCAGAGCATGAATCTCACTAAGGTAGTATCTCAACATGTGCACTATATATTCAGCAGGGTAAGGGACCTACTTCTTGAATTTGAGGTAAGTTCCCATGAAAAGTATGTATCTTGAATAGGTTTCTATTTTTCTGTTACAAAACAGAAGAGGGTGGATGTGTCACTTATAAAAAGCAATAAAAACGATCACCAGGTATTGCGTGCTTATCATGTTCCATGATCCACTTTGTGAAATTTTCTCCCATCAGTTTTGTTATTTCTGTTATTGTTGTGTTTTCAAATATAATAGGATTTGTTTTAAGGCACACTGATGGGACAATGTGATGCACAGGATCATAGGGTTAGGTGAGACTAGTTCTTATTTCAGTTCACTTTTAGGTTAAAATAGAAGAAGTTAGGAGAGGTTCTTTGCTAATAATCACAGTTTGCTGAAGAACTCAGGCTATGCATAATGTTTATGTTGGTGAATTTTTTTGAAATGAGAGATTCCCTAAGAGAGACAGTCACGCTGTGTGTTATTTTTAGTGAAAATATTTCTGTCAGCTGTAAACATGCTTGGAACTCAGCTGGTCTTTGCTATCCTTGTGCTTTCAGTATAATTTATAGTGGGTACGATAGGCGGCCAAATATCTTTTAAAACATGTCCACCTGTCACCTTTAATGGGAAGCATGCCTTAAGTTCCAGATGGTATTTTGGCTGCTAGGAAGCTGAAACTTTGTCTGTGCTAAATGTTCTTGCTACTTGAAACTTTCACCCTCTGTGTACTTTTCCTTAAGCAAGGTCACTGACAAAGGCCTTTTACTTTCACACCCTTCTCATGTGACTATAAATTGATTCTTCACAGTTGTCATCTTTCTCTCAGTAGCATATATATGTATGTTTGTATGCATCCAGTGTTGGTTCTGCCATTAATTATTTGTGTGACCCTGGGCTTTTTAAATGCTTTCATCTCCTGAGATTTGTTTTGCTTTCTTTAAGTAAGGAGTCGCGCCAAGCACTTGCATGGCCCTTTGCAAGTTTGCTGGTCTACTGCTCAGGATGGCCCACAAGCCCAGAGGACTCTACTTCTGGCCTTGCCAGCAAATGACCCAAGGGCAACCTGCTCAGTTACTCAGTGCATTAGCAGTTGCACATTTTTAAATAGGACAAAGCATCCTTTTCCCTTCTATGCCACAGAAAAGTGGCATGCTAGTTAATGAGAACAAAATGTTTGCAAAGCAGTTGGGAACTCTTTGAAGAAAGGTGCTCTGTATAATTAATAAAATGTTGTGATGGACATTTCAGGAACTGTCTGATTAAACAGGGTATTATTTTCAGATTACTGAAGTGCCCAACATTTTCCTTTCTAAATATATGGATTTTGAGCAATATGACGCATATGGAATGTTACTATTTTTCTATCATATTTTCCTACATGTTTCTTATAAGGGATATAGAAACTATAAATGAAATAGACACGGTCTGCTGTTTGTTGTTCTCCAAATGAAGAAAGGAAAAATGAAATAAATGGTAGAAGAGAGCTTTCCAGGTTTGAGCCTATGCGTCAGAAATAAGAAGTCTGTCTTGTCAGAAAGGAATATCAAAAGCAAAGTGGAAACTTAAATTATAACCTTAAGGGCAAGCTCACAGGAACCCCTGTCCTCTAAAATGATCTGTTTTGGTCTATACAGATGCAGAAGTCCGATATGAATTCCATTTCCTTGGCTGAGTGACTTAGGTGTGTTATTTAACCTCTCTAAACCTCAGTTTCCTTATCTATAGGAAATAATACAGAAAGTACCTGCCTTGCAATGTTGGTTTGAAAAGTAAAGAGGAAAAAGTGAAAAATCACTGAGTATAGAGTACGTGATCTTTTTAAGGAAAACTAAACTATTCCACCTAGCACAAAAGAACTGTGGATAAATGAAGTCAACTAAGAAATGACTGGTCTGTGATAGGGAAGCTAATCCAGAATTTTAAAAAGTTGTTTCAGATAATTAGTAAAGCAAACAAGTATGTTGCAGCTGTGAAATTCAGAGGTAAGGGTATACTCTGAATAGTCTATTCTTTCTCTATAGTCTATTAATTATCTATGCTAATGAAATTAAGTGGTACCGTGATAAAATGTTAACAGAATAGACAAAGGATTTCTTATTAAGCAGCAACTGGAACACTGGAGGCAGAGAAACTAACAGCAGGTGAAGAACTGAGGGGAGAAGCAGTGTCCTTTATTGCCTTTTCAAGGGTAGGGAAGAGGTGAAAGTTTATATTTTTCTCCATTTTTTTTCTTTTTGTTTTGTACCGGGGATTGGACTCAGGACTTCTGAGCTTCCCAGGCAGGCAAGGCACCAGTGAGCTACATCCCTAGTCCATGGTTCTCCATTTTTTAATGCCCGACCTTCAACTTCTCATGGATCAGCTCTGATATTTCCTCTACTGTGACTGACAAGTGAAAAAAAGAAGATGCTGCTTATGTTAGTAGATGGAGAGACTTTTGCTCAAAACTCAAAATGTTCCAGAAAAAGCCACTGCAGTAGGCTATAACACCCTGATTTTGAAGAGTGACCTTTGGATTGGGGGCTCAGCAAGAACTCATTCTACCAAGTCTTTCTCATTCTAACTAGGCTTTTCCCAGGCTGCAAAAGGGATCCTGAATGCTATTATCTGGTTGTTTTCATAAGCACTGTTCCTACCTGCCTCTCTACTCTCCCTGTCTCTTTAGCCTCTGCTGTATAGCACAATAACGTTTTCTTTGGGCAAGCACAGTGAGAGGTCATAAAACCAAGACGGTGCTTGGTGACGTTGCAGGAGCAAGGAAGGAAGAGGAAGAGGAGAGAGTTGGAGTGTGCTGGAAAGTGCAGAGCCTGAGTGTGGAAATTCAAAATCAGACCAGAAAACGAGAAAGGTTCAGTATCAACAATGGAAGTGTGCTCACAGGAAACTGTATGGAGCTTTCACTGGCTGCAGAGTTTGGTTTCTATCCAGAAATTAAGGCTGAAGGAGGGCCCACACCCCTGAGATACAGTTGGCACGATCGCCTGCCAACCTCTCTGATCCATTCCTGGGGGCTGGCTAGGAGAGAAGGCCTACTAAGGACAGACTACAGCCACAAGACATCTGTGGTTTCAGTGAGACTAAACTATTTTCGTGGTAAGAAGAATTTTGAAAATCTCAGTGAACTTCATTCACATTACTTACCCTCTCTTACAATTTTATGCCTGGGATAGATATTAATATCTGCAGAAAATGATATCTACATCCAACAAATCAGTAATAGCTAAGAGTAAGAAACCAGCTACACTGGCTATGATGGTGCATGCATATAATCCCAACACTGTGGGAGGCTGAGATAGGAGGACTACAAATTTGAGCCTAACCTGTACAATTTAGCAACTTATGGAGACCCTGCCTCCATCAATCAATCAATCAATCAATCATCAATCAAAATACAAAAAAGGAAAGGGATGTAGCTCATTGTGAGCCCTGGGTTCAATCCTCAGTACTGGGGGAAAAAAAAGAAGACAACAACCCAACCAGATTATCTCCCCTTCTCCTGTTAACAAACAATTTCTTGGTCTTTATACTGCCCAATACACGATGCCACTCTGACATCTATAACACATATATTCTTAATGGCTTTGACAGTT